ATTTTATTTTCATTAATTTCCTGATTTTTTATTTTTTTTTAGTTTCGAGAAAAATTGCAAATTATTTAATACCGTAGTGTTATACAACATGTGATGCTCCGCGCCGCGTTCGTTCTCGTACGGCCGGCCAAACAATTTCAGTGCGCTTAGTAAATTATAATCATATTTTACTCCTTCAAAACTAGAAGAGATATTAAAAATTAAGAAATTAATGAAAATAAAATTTTAAAACGTCATAAAAATAAACTCTACAAATATCTTTAATTTTTTTTTTGGAAACAATCAAATAAAAAATAAAAAAATATTTTTAAACTTTTTTTACTAAAACAATAAAATAAATTAAAAAATGAAACGATTGTAGTTCTTACTTYTTATCCTTGTAAGTCTTATTACAAAACCAGAATTTTGATGTCTCCATTATTTCGTGAGATATTGCAATAGGACATCCTGTATACGAAGGAGTTCAAAAATATAATTAAATGTAAATGACAAATATATAATAAAGAATAAAGTTACAGCGAAAAAAGAAATAAACGTAAGATTATCTAAAAAGTTTGCGATTTGAGTTAGCTTATAATAGTTATACAAGTATATGAAACAATAGTGCAATAATATTGTTATAAAGTTARTTCGTAAGGACTAAGGAGAATTCAATAGCCACTGCAGAATGTTTTTTTTTTTTGTGATTGAGAGGGATTTGTGATATAGTTCGGTACGAATAATTTCGAAATGTCTGCTGGATGTGGTTTTTTGCGTAAAAATGCCTATGAATATTTCATAAAAAATTTTTTTGCAATCATTATTGCAATATCGCGTTCCGTACGGTCACCGTACTACGTATGTGCCTACAGCTACAGGTGCGTAATAATAATAATAATAATAACAATAATAATATGTATTATTCAAAATCATCGCAACAATATTGTCAACATTATTCTCTTTTTTCAGACGCATACACCGACGTGTTATTACGGTCCATGCCAACGAAAATATTGGGGTTAATAACAAACATGTGGCGTTAACGGCGGCGCGCGGCGGTGGCTGCTGTTGCTTCGGTGGTGGTGCAATGATGCACGCGGCGGCGGTGGCAGATAAAGACGCGTAGTTAATATTATTTAGTGAGACACAAAGCTCTATTTCGTCTCAGAGTCTGATTGTAATTTACAACGATTTGTATCTACAAATAGACGAGCCGCCGCCGCGAGGAATGCCGCGTGTGCGCTTTGCGCGGTCGTTTTTGGCGGGTGCAACACCGCGGTGCAGTTAAATGTATTTAATGCATATAAAGCATATTATTATATTATTATAAACACATTTATACCGGAGCTGGGCGGCACACTGTAACGATTTTCTTAATTCAAATTTAAAAAAGAGAAGAAAAGTGAGTTGAAAGTTAACTAATATATTTTTTTAACTTTATTTTATTTTTTTWAAATTAACTTGAGATGATGACGTATCGCTGGCACTCGTCTTGCGAGCACGTATAACATAGTACATTTACGTTCAGCAGGTCGCGTATAGCTTCGTTGGTTTAAAAATCAAAAATGAATCGACCTATATATTATGGAACATGGTAGTAACAATAATGAATATTATTTGTGTTTGTACCTATGTGGGTTTTTAAGGTTTTTCACGATTGTCCAATTTTTTAGCAAGTTTTGCGTACAAAATATCGTATAAATTAAAAATGTTCACTTAAAAATTGAATTATCATAAATAACTCGCATACAAACACAGATAACGTTCTTACCGTTAAGTTTTACAAAAAAAAACGATTCTGTCTAATTTTTAAACCAGCGAAGCTACACGTGATCTGTTGAACGTAAATTTTCTATATGTTACGCACTTGTATAAGATGGAGACAACTACAAACAAATACCAGTATTACGTCCTCTGAACTTAATATTTAAAAAATGTCTAATCGGCTAGGAAAAATGAGGTTAGCGTCAGCGAAATAAATACCTAATGAATTTGGAAATCATTTCAAGCTCGGAGTTCTGTTCGTAGGGCCCGTATAATATGAAGTATAATCGCTATAGCAGTCAGTAATAACAGAGTTTAGAGTCAATTGTTGTTGACTGTTCACTGAACTCTTTCCCGAACGATTTCAAAAG